AGGACGCGCCGCCGCCGTCACCCAGCGCCGCCGCCGCCGCCTCCAGCCGGGCCGCCGCGCGTCCCGGGGGCCGGCCCCGCGAGCGCAGGAGTAAACACCGCCGGAGTCTTGGAGCCGCTGCAGAAGGGAATAAAGAGAGATGCAGGGATTTGTGAGGTTACGGCGCCCCAGCTGCAAGATGCACTAGCCGGCTGAACCCGGGGATCGGCTGACTTGTTGGAACCGGAGTGCTCTGCACGGGAGTGTGGATGAGTTGAAGTTGCTTTCCCGGGGCTCGTTTTCCACGCTGCCGAGAGGAATCCGAGAGGCAAGGAAATCACTTCGTCTTGCCATTGATTGGGCATCGGGAGCTTTTTTTTCCCCCCTCTCTTTCTTTTCCTCCGTCTTGTTGCATGCAAGAAAATTACAGTCCGCTGCTCGCCCGCCCGGGGTGAGAAATATTCAGCCCCGCTTTCTCCCGTCCATTGTGCAACCCAAAGATGAAAGACCGAAGGGGAGAAAGTTAAAGAAATCGCCCACATGCGCTGGATCAGTCCACGGCTTGGGGAAAGGCATCCAGAGAAGGTGGGAGCGGAGAGTTTGAAGTCTTTACAGGCGGGAAGATGGCGGACTGGAGCTGAAAGTGTTGATTGGGAAACTTGGGTGATTCTTGTGTTTATTTACAATCCTCTTGACCCAGGCAGGACACATGCAGGCCAAAAAACGCTATTTCATCCTGCTCTCAGCTGGCTCTTGTCTCGCCCTTTTGTTTTATTTCGGAGGCTTGCAGTTTAGGGCATCAAGGAGCCACAGCCGGAGAGAAGAGCACAGCGGTCGGAATGGCTTGCACCACCCGAGTCCGGATCATTTCTGGCCCCGCTTCCCGGACGCTCTGCGCCCCTTCGTTCCTTGGGATCAATTGGAAAACGAGGATTCCAGCGTGCACATATCCCCCCGGCAGAAGCGAGACGCCAACTCGAGCATCTACAAAGGCAAGAAGTGCCGCATGGAGTCCTGCTTCGATTTCACCCTTTGCAAGAAAAACGGCTTCAAAGTCTACGTGTACCCGCAGCAAAAAGGGGAGAAAATCGCCGAAAGTTACCAAAACATTCTAGCGGCCATCGAGGGCTCCAGGTTCTACACCTCGGACCCCAGCCAGGCGTGCCTCTTTGTCCTGAGTCTGGATACTTTAGACAGAGACCAGCTGTCACCTCAGTATGTGCACAATTTGAGATCCAAAGTGCAGAGTCTCCACTTGTGGAACAATGGTAGGAATCATTTAATTTTTAATTTATATTCCGGCACTTGGCCTGACTACACCGAGGACGTGGGGTTTGACATCGGCCAGGCGATGCTGGCCAAAGCCAGCATCAGTACTGAAAACTTCCGACCCAACTTTGATGTTTCCATCCCCCTCTTTTCTAAGGATCATCCCAGGACAGGAGGGGAGAGGGGGTTTTTGAAGTTTAACACCATCCCTCCTCTCAGGAAGTATATGCTGGTATTCAAGGGGAAGAGGTACCTGACAGGGATAGGGTCAGACACCAGGAATGCCTTATATCACGTCCATAACGGGGAGGACGTGGTACTCCTCACCACCTGCAAGCATGGCAAAGACTGGCAAAAGCACAAGGATTCTCGCTGTGACCGAGACAACACGGAGTATGAGAAGTAAGTGGCTCGGCTGGCGGGCCTCTGCCGGTCACCCTGGGCCCTGCCCACCTGGGCCAGGTGTGAGGTTGGGGGATGGGGCGCGGCCGAGGGGCCCTCTCTCAGCCTGGGACTGAGCAGCCTGGTTCTGGCGTGTGGCTAGGAGCTGGGGACCCAGAGTTGGATCTCCGGGCCAACGGAAAAGCCCGGAGCACTTTCGTGGGCCAAGTAGGCGCCCGTGTCTCCCTCTTGCTTGGAAACCCTTCAGGGCCATGTGTCTCCTATGAAAGGTGTGGGTTTGCTCCAAGTTTGGAGACCGCTTCTTTAGTGGGTGTGGGAGGGTGTTTGTGAGGAGGTCTAGGGACCCCGAAGAGGCTGTAAATCCACCCACAGTCTGGAGACCTTCCATCCCAAGATTGATGCTTTATTTGTTTTTCTCACGAGCGGGGGGGCGGGGTGGGGGGGGGGGGGGGGGGGGGGGGGGGGGGGGTACTGTTTTCCCCGGGGATTTCCCAGCCTCCAGTTGTCAAATTTCTGTAAGCCTTGAATTTGTGTTAGCGCTGCAAGTGTTTTAATTTTAGCTACTAAACTTTCAGTGCCTGTCCCTCCCCTACCCTCCGGGGCATTGGCCTCTGTGAAGGGATACCTCAAGCTGATCTAGGCCTGTGATCTTTCTTTCTTTCTTTCATTCATTCACTCATTCATTCATTCATGTGTATGTTTGTATCCTGTCTCCTTCCTAGGGAGAAGCTGTTTTTAAAATCTGGGCCTCAGCCCCACTGCTGTAAACTCCAGTTGCTAATTTAGATTTTCCTTTCCCTTTTGTCTTTATTATTTGCATGTAAATCGAAGACTTACTCTTTGAATGGGCATGAGATGCCTCCTTACCCTCAGTAGTGAGGCAAGTTTTGTCTAGTTGCTAAGTAACTGAGTTGGATACTTTGTAGCCCTTCTTTCTCTTCCTTTTCCTTCCAGGAACAGTAACTGACACACGGGATTTGGGGGTCAAAGCTAGTTTCCACAAATCTGCTTTAACCTGAGCTTTGGCGGGCCAGTTCCCAAGTTGGTGGGGTCGGAGCCCCAGACTCTCACTTGCATCTCGCTGTGAAAGAGTTAGTGAGCTCCTACAGTGCATTTCCACGTTACGCCAGTTAAAAACCCGAGCAGCCTTGTGCTACCCAGGGAAGGAAGGGGAACCTCTCAGCTGAGTACAAGAGGAACTGGCAGAGGTTGGCAGATTTTGCAATTGATTCATGAAATGCAGAATAGGGGAAACGCTTCACAGACCTGATTGGCACAGGAAGGGCTATGGTGGGAAGCAGCCCTGAAAATGAAAGGTTTGATTGTTGTCTGTGGATTTCCTCAGACACTCAGGCCTCCGTAGGAGTGATTGGAAGGGAAATTAAAGTCCTCCTATCCTTGATCATAGACAGTGAAAAAGAAAGTATCAAACCCCCAACCCCCAACCGAATTCCCCAACCCCCAACACCTCTTGCTTTCCAAGCATAAGAGAAAGCCCGAGGCTAGGGTCAATTATGAAATCTGTATTTCCCCCTTCTTCAGGGGCAGTTGTGTGTGGATGTTGGGTGCAATTGCAATGGATTAAAATTTTCTCACAAGGGAAACAAACTATGGTTAGTAATAAACTGCTTTGTTTTCACGACATTTACATTGACCTGTTCCTTTGGGTGCTTGTAAGAAAAAAATGCTTGTAGCCTTTCAGGAATTTCTTTGTCTGGCTTATGGTGGAGTAACTCGCAATGAAGTCTAACCCTTCAGTGTCTTCTAAAGCATTCTCACTGAATTTTGTGCAGGGGTCTCGGTGGTCCTCATTCTTCCAGAGCGGCTGGAGCTGAGTTCTCAGTTTAGGAAATCTGAATTGCACATTTCTTTGGGAAACACCCTCAATCCAATAGAACAATCATCTTCTTTACCTTCTTATTCCTCCAAATAAGTATTAAGTCTCTACATTCTCCACTGAAGCTTTTTCTAGAGCTTGGCAATGAAGGAAGGAAGGGTTGGTTTCCTAGAACCTCTAATTTTTGCCAATTAAATGTAACTAATTTTTGACCTCTTTGGGATCCGGCCAGGAAATCTGACACCCACACTCTTGTTTTGGTTTATGTTTAGAGACCACAAGGGGTCAGGCCCTCAGGATTGGGTCTCATCTGAAAAGTGGCATTTAGTTAGGAAACCAAGTTTTTTGCTCTTTCTCCCGAGCAGGGATTTCTTTAGCAGAGGCACTTCTGGATGTTTTTCATGTTCCCCTTTTGCATACTTTCCAGCTCTAACCTTGCTCAGTAGGACGGGATGCTGCTGTGGAACGTTTATGTTCATTAGCCTGGTCTACCTGGAGTTTTAACTCCTTCCTCTCCCGGATTGTCAGAACTCTTGATCACTGAGTAACAGTGCTTGCAAACATCATCGCCTTTTAGTGTTGCCTTTGAAACACATGCAGATAAAGACTGACCCCTGAAACACCGTGAGAAATGCGCAGCCAGCAACTGCGTGTTGGGCTCAGAACGAAGAGCCGCTCCTTTGCTCTCTGTTGCTTTCTCTAAGTCTGTCATGCATATCTGAGATGCAGAACTCAAATCCAATGCTAGTGTCCCTTCAGGGTTTTAGAGAAGGAAGTGATAGTGAAGTTGGGTTGTCCAAGTCATGTAAGTCTGACTTCTTACTTACGACTTTTGATTTGTCACCTTGAACATCAGTTTATCCTTCTGTGGAATGGGCTTTTGACTGCTCCGGGAGAGCTGTACTCATTCATTTGGTGATGGCTTGTAAAAACACGATCAGTTTTCATCCACTTCTCTTCTTTATTAGCAAGTGCCTCTGAAAAGTCTTCGGTTTAATTTGCTCCCCAAGCAACTGACATAGAAGTTTGCTTTGGTCTTACGGGGTCAGATAATTAGATTGAAAATGTATGGTATCATGGCCTAGCTAGGGTATGACAGAATATATATAAGCGTATCAACTAAAAAAAGAAAAAAAATGGCTTTTAGTGAAATTGAGCCTCATAAAGGTTTAGTGCTAAGGGGTTGAGGACTTCCATCTCACCTGCACTTTTGTGAAAATCAGACATTTGTTATTCAAAGTACAAAAGAAAGACACAGAATGAGGGGAAGTACTTTTTTCCTGTCATAGCAATGTTTTTGAGCGCCAGACTTCTAGGATTACATTAAAACATCCATCTTCACGACACCCATAATTAATTGTCATCAGTTACATACATTAACAGATGTCGATGATACTGGCTAAAACAAGTGGCTGCAGCTATTACATGATTCGTAGTGAAGCTTTAGAGAAATTCTGTTTCACTCCTTTGAGCTTCTCATGCATCCTTACAGGGCTCCTATATTTCTTGCATGAACTTCGTAGTTCAAATCCCTTGAAAGGGCATTATTGTGAAGCTTCAAATTTGGCTTTCTGAAATAGAAGAAAGAGAAGGAAATGAGAGGTGGCTTCTATCTTTGACCCCTCCGAGGAAAGCAGTGGCGAATATTTTAAGCAGCTCTTCTGGGAACAGGCAGGATTTTGTGCAGGCCTTTTTGATATCTTTCCCTGTGTCTGCTGAAGCTGTACCTCACAATCTTGGCATTTTTAAGAGTCTTGAAGCTAAGTGATCATTCAGCTTCCAGGATCCTCCTTTCACAGATGTGGAAACTGAGGGATGGAATGTTTCGGGGATTTGCTGCAGGTTAAGAAACTGGTTAGTGGCAGGGGTGGGTGAATTTTCCCCCTTGACATACAGTGCTCCGTCTTCAATTACAGATACACTTGAAAGCCCTCCAGCCACTAGGAGAGCCTTACTGATGCTGTTCTTACGGGATTTCTCTTGGAATCCTCGGGGAAGCTGATGAAGACCTTGGACAAACTTTGAAAAAAGCCCTAGGAACTACATACATGCACAGCCTGTCACAGAATTTTCTGGGTGGATGCACAGCCGCTGGTCCGGGCATCCTCAGACTTCCAAATTCTTGCTGTAGGGCTCACCTTCTGTTTTTCATTGCTGCCTAAGGTGTAGGTGCCTGCAGCTGTTTCGCCTAAGTAGGAGGTTCTTGGACCTTGCATTTTGGACCTAAGGGATTTGGGGACTGGACTGTGACTTAACCTAACAGAGAAGCAGAATACAGATGGAGTTATAGAAAAAGAAAATGTGCACAACAAGTAGTCTTTGTAAATGATTTATTTGTTTACTCCCCACCATCCCAAAGCATATTAACAGACCCCTTGAGCAAGTTCATGAGCCAGCAGTGAACCTTAGGTGAATGCTTTCCTCCTCTGAAATGAAAGGTAGAAATTGTGCTTCTTGGGTTTTAAATGTAAAATATGAGTGCCTTCCCCCCTACTCACCACAGTTGTATGAGAGCACAAAAGCATTTCTAAAATAAACCATACAAGCACAGTTTAAAAATAAAGATAGGGAACATTATGCAAAATTATGAAATTGGCAAATGTGTCTTCTGGTGCCATGGTTCTAGTTCTCTCTGCTCCCCTCTTCTTCCCTCCATCTGAACTTGCTTTCTGGAGAGGACCCGGGAGTCTCATTTACAAGGAATCCCCCACATAAAGGTAGGGGTGCTGTGTGCTACATCTGGGGACGTTTGCATATTGATTGAGTCCCCTTCACCAAAGGACTTGGTTTCAAGTAGAATCTGACCTAAACTGGGATTCTGCAGGATTTTGTTATACAGCGAATGGCTTGCTCCTGAGGCTTGGACAGGCCAGACCGATGGGAGGCCACCTTTGGTGCTGCTGATGGAGCCAGCAGCTTTAGATGGCACAGACTTGGCAGAGGGGGAAGCTGTCACACCTTCCGCTGGTGATTGTTCTCTTTGTCTACAGACCTGTAGCTCTGCCTCCCCAGAAGACAGTGCTAGAAAGTCACCTTGAGTATGCTAATATCACTTCAAAGATTGCACTGGATGCGGCCTGGCTGCTTTGCTCACAACCATCTTGCAAGGTGTCTTGTGAGGCCATTTTACAGATGTGTAAACTGAGACCACAGGTGGCACAGC